TCTCTCTCTCCTCCTCTCTCTCTCTCTCTCTCTCTTTCCCTCTCTCTTGCAGGATTTCCCACAGCATACACGCTGGTTTAATGTTGACATTAGATTTTGTTAACATGATCAGTAGCGGTTTGCACTTCCCTGTCTTTCTTTTGATGATTTCTTGTCTGAAACATTCTATTTAAACTAATTGGGCCAGAGTGAATCAGATCATGTCTCTGTGTTTGTTTCCACAGTGCTGTGTCTGACGAGGCTGACCCGCGCTACCGAGACCCCCAAGAAGACCATGCTGTCCCTCCTGCTGCCCGCGCTGCTGGCTGTGCAAGCTCTCGGTGGGTGGTGTCCCCCTGTCCCCCTCCACAGCCCGTCATTACCCATAGATAAATGCTACCACCAAGTGTAACTCCACCGCCATCTCAACAATACGCTCAACAGGGTTTTTAGTCATTCCCTTCAAAGAAATGACAAGGAAGACAAAATAACAGCTCAAATTAGGCTTACTCTGAAAACGAATATTCTTAACAGTGCAAAACGTAAAGACGATGAAAACTTTACAGAATGGGAACATTTAGAAAGTAATGTGGACAGGAAAATTGGATGAGTTTGTCCTTCTCTAGCCAGAGCTAGAATGGGGCCCTTGGGTAGCTAGTAGGGTGAGGTCCTGCCTGAGAAGAGACTTGCAGAGAGTGTAGTTTTTCTCCAGTGAGTCAGAGAGTGTGGTGGGGGAGTCAGCCTCTCATGTTCCAGTAAGAAGGGGGAGTTGTGGTTGGTGTAGCCTGGGCTGTAGGCAGCAGGGTTGTTGTAGTGCTCAGGGCAGTGTGCTGGACTCAGCAGTCAGACAGAGACTCTGAGAGTGAGAGAGATAGGAGCAGGGCTTCATTAGGGCCTAGCAGGGTTGTGGGTTCGATTCCCACGGGAGGCCAGTATAATTATATTTTTTAAAAACATTGTATGTACTCACTAACTGTAAGTCGCTCTGGATAAGAGCGTCTGCTAAATGACTAAAATGTAAATGTAAATGTAGTACTGTTCCAGCCTTAATGGGTCTTTGGCCTGCTCATTACTGGCTGTGGCGGCTGCCTCAGCCCTCTCACTGGGAGGGAGGGAGGGAGGGAGGCGTCTCGGACTGTGTAGCTCTTTAAGTTGTAGTTAAGAGGGTTTTTTACCTCACACAATATATGATTGTTCTTTATTTACTTACTGGAATTTACTGTTGAATGAATGATTGACAGTATTAGGTAACATTGTACAGCATGTTTTCAGTCATACTCTAAATCATGTGCTTTGAAAGTCTGTCGATAGAGACAAACTGTCATGTGGGAATAGTGAGTGAGGGTGCACATGTGTATGTGCTGGTGTTTGTGTGTCTATATGTGTGTGTGAGACCTGGGGTCCTCTGGGCCTGTTGGCTCTGATTAGGATTACAGGCCCTTGCTAATCCCACTTGTCTTCTACAGTGTCTCTCCTCTACTCCACCATTAAATAACCGTATCAGTGTCACTCCTGTGCTGCGCCATTAAATACCCCTATCTCCACACAGGATTACACTCTGAGGCTGCTACATTGCCACTGCACTCTCCCAAGACAACCTCTAGTAGAGTACAGAGGTAGAGTCCTCGTCTAAGCTGTTGGTGTGTAACATTGTCTTGGTGCGTAAAATAAGAAAATGTTGCTTAGCACAGCTGGTGTCAGTTCTCGTCCCCAATGGAATTGTTGCTTGATGTGGTGGTGACAGGTTTCTTTGTTTCAGTATCCATATACACTGAGTATACAGGACATAAACTGACCAGGTGAAAGCTATGATCCCTTATTGATTGGTGCAACTCAATATTAGCAAGGAGTTCCTAATGTTTGGTATACTCAGTGTACTTTTAATGCACTAAACTAGTAGCAGTACTCCTAGTGGGGTTGCTCTGAGGTAACAGGCAAGCAACAGCAGAAGCACCAGCCCAGTAAGTAGGCCTAGCATCCAGGCTCCATAAGCAGCAGCAGAAGCACCAGCCCAGTAAGTAGGCCTAGCATCCAGGCTCCATAAGCAGCAGTAGCAGATGAGACACAGTAGAGCCTGTAGTGTAAAGCAGAAGCATTAACAGGATGCTGTCTGCCTAATTGCGTGTTGTCATGCTCTCTGTTCTGTCAGCACTGCCACCAGCCTGCCAGGCTTCTGCCATTTGCTGCTGCTTGCGCCCACCTGCCCACTCTTAGCATCCCCACGTTAAAAGGGAAATTGTATTCATGCAAATGCAAAAATGGCAAGCTGACCTGGATTCAGTTTTAACGACGAGAGCTGGGAAGTAATTATAATTAATTAGCATAATTGAATAGATCACATCTAGTGTGGCAGTCAGTGAGCGGCAGACATTATGGCAAGGCCCTGAAGCGTGTAAATGCCTGCTCACAGCCGCATCTCTGGTGCCTTTAAGGTCTGCTAACTAGGAATGCCCTCTCCCTGTCCTCCTTTTCTCTTCACAGCAATTGATTCTGTAGAGAGGGGACACTTTGGCCCGCGCAGAAATTCAATTTAGGGTTATTACCCCGTATCAGTGATGTTCTTGCTAATTTGATTGTGGCCGGTGAAGTATCCTTTTAAAAACAATCGAGGGCAGGCCCGACAAAGATTGCTTTCGCTGCGATGCATACATAATGCCCAGTTAGTCTACTAGCAGGTTGGCTAATGCACTGAGCTGCTGGCCCCTCCCTCTCTCCCCACTCACTCTGCACTGTAGCCTAGCCATTTAAACAGAGTGCATTACCCATCAAGCACCTCATGATTATTTCAACAAGTCCTAAAAAAGCTGTCTTGTGGGATCACTTAAACATTGATGCGGGTAACGTGCAGAGATTGCAGTTCTGTGTAGGGAGCGCTGAGCGGGGCCTGGAGCCATATGCAGGTTATCTTTGTGTTTAGTGGGCTGTGATGAACAGGATGAATGACCCACCACCACCGCTCTGAAAGCAGCATCATTGCTTGGTGCTGAGTAAGAAGCTTCCCTGTCTGACACACAGAGAGAGGAGACACTTACCTACAGGTTGCCGCTATGGTTACCGGGTGATACCACGGTTACAGGGCCCTGAGTGAGGTCACTATGTCTCAGGAGAAGCAGGGTTGGGTGTTGCCACGGTTACAGGGCCCTGAGTGAGGTCACTGTGTCTCAGGAGAGGCGGGGTCAGGTGTTGCCATGGTTACATGGCCCTGAGTGAGGTCACTATGTCTCAGGAGAAGCAGGGTCGGGTGTTGCCACAGTTACGGGGCCCTGAGTGAGGTCACTGTGTTTCAGGAGGAGACGGGCTCAGGGTAACATCCAGACACACAGCCCCAGCCACTGACCCTTTAACCCCTTAACCCCCAGCATTAATGTAGACATCCACTGCTCTCCGACCCCTTCATAAGGCAGAACAGAATTGCAGCCTGAGATTTGAGCAACGGCTCTGCCCTCCCAGACATGGCTTTGGTTATTACCAGGGCCAGCAGGTGTCAAACACTTGTCTATCTGAGGGATTAGAACCCAAACCTTTGCCACCCCTACAATAATACAGTTTGGCTTTCTGATCAACTTAGCTTGGCTTTTCTGTAATCGTATGCATAGCGTATAGGCTCACCTTAACCCCAGTCATTTGGATTAAGCTGCACAAACTCAAATCCACCCCACCCCCTCTCCTGCTGGGATGGATTTGCTCCTATGTCTCCCTCCTCATACTCATCCCAGGTTGTGTTCTCTCTCTTCTCTCTCAGACAGGTGGTGGAGGAAGGTTAGGCTTGTCCTTATCTCCCAGGCAGCTCCTCTGCAACTGGCCCTATTATCTGGCTGTCAGAGCCCATTAACAGCTTATTGACGGGATATGAGACCAGCTCCCCCTGATAAAGCACCCGCCCCCCCTGTCTGTGGAGAGAAGAAGATGGAGAGAGCATAAACGACAAATGAGAGAGGGAGAAAGAGACAGACAGACAGACAGAGTTAGGAGAAAGGAAGTGTGGTGCATCTTGATTTATTACGTTGCTGAAAATAAGCAACCTGAGCTCCTGTCTGCTCCACTAGCTATCTGCACCTCATATATCTCTCACAGACAGAGATGGCTTTCACTCTATGATGACTGTAGCCCAGATATGGGGAGACAGTGTTCAATTGGTAAATGTCATGAGTGACCCCATTATTCAAGGCTCAGAGACCTACATAATCCCCTCCATTTTGTGTCTATCTTTCAGGAGCAAGAGGGGAGGAAAGGCACAGCTTTAGAATAGATTCTCTATGTGTCTGAGTGCTAATTCCGAGCAGTGTTAAGCTTACCATGTCTAAACTACCACTACGTCTCTCAATGTATTCCAGATGTTGGTTTTTATTTGTGTTCCCCTGGACATATTTGAAAGGTTTTGGGCTTGGACAGTGTGATTTAGAAAAGCTTTGAAGAAAGGCTTTAGTTGGCATATTTGAACAACAACATTTACTGAAAGAATAGCTGTTGTGAAAGGGCACTAAGCATCTGTGAACTTCCTGTTCTTTTGATGTTCAGGTGGGTCATTCATGTGAAGACCAACATGTCTGGAACTGCAGTACTTTTGACCACCCAATGGGGGCATTATTGCCACAGCTTTTTAAGCAGCTCACTACTTAGCCAGACAGAACACTATAACTCCAGTGCCTGTGTGTCTTTACTTAGTTAAGTCAATATTACCTCTGCAATTTGCCTTCCAGTGTATGTATGGTTGTGCACTCTTATCATGGCTGTTCCTTTATGCCATGTTCTACAAAGGGGCTTTACCATATCTCCGAACATGTGTACCTAACATCTTCCAATGAACAGGACTACTGGTAGCTCTACCATCTGTAATCGAGCAGGGGTAATTTAACCTGTGTGTAAGGTGCATATTGGCCTAGTAGGTGATAACCTATATGCTGTTCAATGTTATTAAGCAGAGTTCATTTGAAGCTGCGTTCTATTGTGTGTTTATTGGAGAAGCAGTTATGAACCAGGGTTATTGAACAGTGGGTTATTGCATCAGGAGCTGGAGGGAGATGGAGGTTGTGGTCTTATTGAAGTCCTTGTGTTTAACAGCCCAGGTTATTAAAGGGATCAGGTTATTACAGGTTTAGGTATTTCTGTTTAGGGTTGTGTTCTATTGACCAGGGTCAGCTGAACCTGAATGGAACATCAACACAGAATGTTTAGGCTATGTATTGCATTCTACTAGAGGTGGATACGGGTGTACATTCTATTGGACTGAGTGAATTCAACTTTAGTGATCACAAGCAGAGTGAGATGTTAATGTGTTTGTGTGTGCCTGCGTGTAGGTGTGTGTGTGGGTGTCACTGAACACAGTGATTCGGACCTGTCTGTTGTGGAGCAATACTATGACAGTGTATATTGTAGTGTCAGAATGCCCTGTGTCTCAGACTGACTCTCACAGTGCTGTGGAGCTGTCAGGAGCCAGGACTGAGCTGAATAACAATGCCCTCTGCTTGTGGATGTGTGTGCGTGTGTGCATGGGTGCGTGCGTATGTGTGTGCCTGGCTGTGTGTGTGTGCGAGTGTGTGTGTATGTGGGTTTGTGTGCACCTGCCTGCGTCTGGAGGAGTGAGGTGAGATGTCACTGCCACCGTGGCTCAGGAATTTGTTTACCAAGAGCCATGTTGTGTCACCTTGTCAGCTGCCTATGTATGAAGCCTGTGATCCTCCTCCCACCCCCTGCCTGCCTGCTGCCTGCAATGCTGCTTCACTCTCAGCAGGCCCCTCACCCTCTCTGCTCCACTCATCTGTATAGCTTAGCTTAGCACTAGCCGGGGCTAATCTGTGCTAACAGAGATATCCGTGCAGCGAACCATTCACCCTAAGCTCACATGTTCAGGGTGGCTCTCGAGTAGTGCTGGGAATTGCCAGGGACCTTACGATACAATATCATCTCGGTACTTAGGCGCCGATACGATATGTATTGCGATTCTCACGATTCTATATGTATTGCGATTCAATACTGTGATTTTATTGTGATTCCATGGTCCAAATATATTGCTCACCATATGTCTGCTGCAGAGGGAGGAGAGAGCCATGATAAAACTAGTTTAGAAATACAAGTGCTGAAAACACTACTATCCCGATATGTAACTGTATTGATTTTTCCCCCCATCACTACTCTTGAGGCTGCATCTGTACTGGTGAGCATAGCACTAGGCTAGCCAGGGCCCAGTGACAGCATCACTGTTATGTTGAGCTGAGGTAGGGGTCGAAGAGACAGCCCAGGGATTAGGGGAGCGGAGGGGATGTGGGGAGTGAGTGATGTAAATATCCGACAGGGCCATTACTAGCTTGCCCTGCCTGCCTACCTACCTGCCTCTCCCTCCCTGCCTGCCTGCCTGCCTGCCTGCCTGCCTGCCTGCCTGCCTGCCTGCCTCCCTGCCTCCCTCCTTCCCTACCTGCCTGCCTCCCTCCCTGCTTCCTCCCTCCCTCCCTGCTTCCTGCCTCCCTCTAGCCCTGCCTGCCTGCCTGCCTCTTCCTCCCTGCCTGCTTGCCTGCCACTGTCATCCAGCCTGCCTGTCTGTCTACCTGCCTGCGTGTCTGCCTGTGTGTCTGCCTCCCTGTCTGCCTCCCTCCCTGTCTGCCTCTGTCCCTGCCTGCGTGTCTGCCTGTGTGTCTGCCTCCCTCCCTGTCTGCCTCCATCCCTGTCTGCGTGTCTGCCTGCGTGGCGCTCCGCTTTGAGGTAAGGGTGTCTGAGGGAAGAGTGCCAGCCAGCGCTCACAGGGCTTTAATGAGTTTATTTCATGTCGGCTGTGAAAGTGCATGGCTCTGTCTCTCTCACAGGCACTCAAACAGAGTCGGACCCATAAACATAAAGTGCAGGGTGTAAATCTGCCCTGCCGTCACGTCCCCTCTCTCCACCGCTCTCTGCTCTGAGCATCTCTTTATCGCCTCTCAGGGGCCGGGGAGAGCCCTTAGCCCTCAGACAGGGAGACACCACCTCTCAAAACACACTTTTTCAACCACAACCTCCTAGACCAAAGGAGTGATCACAGATACTACAGTATGTTGGTGTGTTTGTTGGAGATATCTAGCAATTAAAAGCAGCAACAATACCAGTTTGCCCCCCCCCGTGTTTCACCTCTGAAGGAATAGGACATCAGATGCTCACTTACAGTTTCCATGACGTCAGAGCTAACTGCCCCTCCCCTCTGGGTGCAGTGAAGTGGGTGTGAAACGCTGTGCTCTATTCCTGCTCTCAGTCTGTCTGTGTATGTCTGTCAGTGTGTTAACATGCTGTCCAAAAGTCCTGCTGCACCCTCACCAGACCGGCACCAAGAAGAGGGTCACTGGTTAGAGAAGGAGGGAGAGAGAGATGGAAGGAGGAGAGAAGGATGAGTAGCTATCTCTTCCCTGACATGGGCCATGGTCTGAGTTAGGGGATTAGCGATGGGCTGCAGTGCTCTCCCCTCCTGGCTTGTTTCCTGATATTATCTTTAAGTGCACGCTCAAAGCTGCCCTCTCGCTCTCCTTCCTCTCCCCTCTCTTCCATCATTTTCCCCCTCTCTGCCCACTCTGCCCTCTCTTCCCCCTCTCCTCTCCCCTCTCCCATTCTCCCCCCCTACCTCCCCCTCTCGCTTCTCTCTCCCCCCCCTCTCACCTCTCTCTCCCTCCTCTCTCCTCCTCTGTGAACCCATTGGAGTGAGTCATTCCGGTCTGCTCTGGGAGTGATCTAATTGCTGTGTCTCCTCCCTGCTCTGTGTGCATGCCTCTGTGTGGGCCGTCACTTACACTCCAGTCCTACCAAAGTGCCTGTTGCCTATTCATTACCCAGAAAGCACTACAAAAACACACACGCACACAAACTACTAGAACGTTAGTCTGGTAGACAGCCATGCAGCCCTACAAATCAATCAAATCGAATTGTATTTGTCACATGCGCCGAATACAACAGGTGTAGACCTTACAGTGAAATGCTTACTTACAAGCCCGTAACCAGCAATGCAGTTTTAAGAAAAATAAGTGTTAAGTAAAAATAGATAAGTTAAAAAACAAATCTACAAAATAATTATATTAAATAACAAATCATTAAAGAGCAGCAGTAAAATAACAGTAGCAAGGCTATATACAGGGGGTACCGGTACAGAGTCAATGTGCGGGGGCACAGGTTAGTCCAGGTAATTGAGGTAATATGTACATGTGGGTAGAGGTAAAGTGAATATGCATAGATAATAAACAGAGAGTGGCAGCAGCGTAAAAGAGGGGGTGGGGGGTGACAATGCAAATAGTCCGGGTAGCCATTTGATTAGCTGTTCAGGAGTCTTATGGCTTGGGCGTAGAAGCTGTTAAGAAGCCTTTTGGACCTAGACTTGGCGCTCCGGTACCGCTTGCCGTGCGGTAGCAGAGAGAACAGTCTATGACTAGGGTGGCTGGAGTCTTTGACAATTTTTAGGGCCTTCCTCTGACACTGCCTGGTATAGAGGTCCTGGATGGCATGAAGCTTGGCCCCAGTTATGTACTGGGCCGTACGCACTACCCTCTGTAGTGCCTTGTGGTCGGAGGCAGAGCAGTTGCCATACCAGGTGGTGACGCAACCAGTCAGGATGCTCTCGATGGTGCAGCTGTATAACCTTTTGAGGATATGAGGACCCATGCCCTCTTCACGACTGCCTTGGTGTGTTTGGACCATGATAGTTTGTTGGTGATCTGGACACCAATGAACTTGAAGCTCTCAACCTGCTCCACTACAGCCTTGTCGATGAGAATGGGGGCGTGCTCGGTCCTCCTTGGCTGTACAATAAACCCTGCTACTGTAATGTTATGCCATGATTACTGGATTGGATTGTCGACTGTGCTGTGGGCAGAGGAAGTGTAGTCACATTATGGGGCTATAGAAAACATTACTAGCAGCTGTTTTGATGTCAGTAAATAAAAAATCTGCTTTGTGATTTTCACGACATGGGTTGGGAGGAATTGTAGTGCATCACCTAGAATGATATACTTGTGATTGTTAGTTACTGGGCTTGTTGTTCTTCTGTTTCCATGGTTTTCTGGATGTGGTGGATGGTGTATTTTTGGATGTGTTTTGCCCAGTTTTCCTCTGGCCTGTAGTTACGTGAGGATCCAGCAGGTGGCAGTAGGCCTGCAGATGAGCAGGGGGATATTGGTGAATGTGGGGTCTCTCTCCTGTGAGGTTTGGCTATGTGTCTACCAAAATATCTTTGCCTTGACTGAGCATCCTCATCCACGGATTGCACTCGGATGAAAGTGTTGTTTGTTGATAATGGGGAAATCAATTGTTACACCTCAATCACAACTATTTCATGCAAAAGTGTGTGATTGTTGTTAAATCTGAAAGACAAGAGTACAGAAGAGATTCTCATAAAAATAGCAGCAGTCTAGTTTAGGATGCATCACACTAAATTCAGGGGGATTCCAGGGGTTAGATTGGCTTTTTCTGTCTTGATGTTCATCACATAACCAGACCTGTAGAAGTGGAGACAGGAATAAATTGAGAATGGTTTAGCTGTAGCCTGCCTCCTCTCTCTGTGGTGTCTGAGATGGCTACTAAGCCAGAGTGATTATGCAGAGCCTGCTCATGGCTGTAGAGAGGAGAGGAGAGGAGAGGAGAGGAGAGTCTAGACAAGCAGTGTGGAGATCAGATGCCTTAAGGAGGGTTTCCGCTTTAAAACAAAACAAATCATACTCACCATTGAGCAGCTTAGTCCAGTGTTGTGTTGAGGGAGACACTACACTCTGGAGAGAGATGGAGAGTGTTCTTTCTCACCAGACAGACCACTATCTACATTATTAACTCACCACTGCCTCCAAGTGGATATTTAGGAGCTACATCTTTATTGCAGTTCATTCATCCCCCCAAAGCTTATTTAGACATCTCTCTCCACTACATGGCTAAACACACATGTCTATGTTTGCTGTTATTGACATACTCGCTCTCTCTCCTATCTAGCTGTCCTTGAAGTACAGGTCCCAGAGCTGCCAGTGGTGGCGCTGTACGGCATGGACACCACCCTCAACTGTTCCTTCAGCCACGCCTCTCCCTTCAACCTGTCTGACCTCAGTGTCTTCTGGCAGCTGACGGACACAAAGCGCAGCGTGCACAGCTACTGGGCCAGCCAGGACCAGCTGGCAGACCAGGGAGAGCGCTACGCCAACCGCACCAGCCTGTACCCCTCCCAGCTGGGCGCGGGCAACGCCTCGCTCCTCCTGAGGGGGGTCCGGGTGGCCGACGAGGGTAGCTACACCTGCTTCGTCAGGGTGGAGACCTACGGTAGTGCAGCCTTACTGCTCCAGGTGGCAGGTGAGTCTGTTCATTTTTTACCTTTATTTAACCAGGTAAGTCATTGAGAACACATTCTCTTTGAAGTTTTACAATAACGACCTCAGACTGGGAAAGCTGGACCAAGGCTTGGCCTGTAGCTACCACGTCTCCCGGCCTCGTTCTCGATACGTCTTTCCTCGAATCCTCAAATCCTCCATTCTCTTTTCCTGTCTGTCTCAAAACATATTGAAGAAGAAGGTCAGAGGATGGGGACCTTGGACCGCCTCCTCCAGTATGGTTGAGAAGGAGTTCCTCAAGGGCTTCACATACAGGAAGTAGAGTCCCCTCTTAAACCTTTTACTGCAGTGGGCTAAATGAGGGTCACACAGAGTGTTTCTTGGTAGTCTTAAATAAATGTACTTTGAAACAAAAGTATACACCTCACACTCATGGTTATGTTATTTTTTTTTTAAGACACCTGTACCATGTTAGATATAGAGTTGAAATGTATTCAATTTTGAGTTAGCATCCCAATATGACACTTTATATACATCACAGAAGACTGAATTATAACAAAACCGTTTGACATAGAAACACCAGATATTCAGTGTTTTTTAAAAATCCATGTTTATTAATTATGAAATTATGAAAAATATTAATAACATTCCACCCATGAGGCCACTAGAGGGCTATTTCGTCATTTGACTGCAAGAAAAGGGTAGATCACACACATCACCGGCCCTTCTTTGATAATCATGTGAGACCTTTAGGATCGATGCCTAACACAGCACAGAAATTGGTCATAAAACACTTGGTTCCATCAGGGATGCTCCATAACATGTTTGGTCGATACTTCCTGATTGTGGTCCTCTGGTTGTGGTCAATCACTGGCTTTGATTATTAGTTCCTGCCAAGATTGATTGTTACTAACAACTCGGTGATGAAGGTAGTTGTTCCATCAGAGGACCGTCATCACAGCTGAGTGCACTTTTATTTATAATTATTCTTTATGGCTTCACACACAGTGTTGGTGAACTCCTCCCTCCATCACCACTACTTTCCATGTTTTGTTGTTAAATTGGTCCTTTCCTCTCTATGGATGTATGTGCATTAAACAGCGTTAACGTTTGACAGTTTTCCTCTTGGCTGGCTAGTCTGGGTAGAGGAAAAAAAGAAAAACAGTGACAAATTGGCCCCTTTTCATGCATTCGATTTATAGATGTATTATTTTTAGCTGGCATTTACAGTTAACATCATAGAGCTCCCTTCCAACAGTGCTCTGAGAAAATGACGGGTCTCTGTGGAAATCTGCCTGTCAGTCAAATGGATAGCCAGGGAGGTTAGTGGCAGGCTGACATTCCGTCTTAGTGCTGAGAGAGCGAGAGAGAGTCCACTTTTCAAAAGGCAACTCGCATGAAGTTATTTAATCTCCTTCCTCTCCCTCCCTCCCCTCCCCATTGTTTGCTGTAATATGATTGGCTCAGGGAATACAGCCTCCTCTCTCTGCCCGCTGCGCCTCTGGTTGTGTTTTAGCTCAGGGGATTGGAGAGCCGTGAATTAATCCCAGGCTGAGCATTCACCCCCCTCACCTCCTCAACACCCGCCCCCTCCTGCCAAACCCCTGAACAGAGCACAGCAGTCCCAAATTCTCGCCGCCGTGCCTATTTCCCCCAGGCCCCCCTTCCGGGCCGGGTCAGGCTGTGGTGGTTGTGTGGTATTGTGGGGCGGCTTGGCTCAGAGCCGTGGCTCTCTCCAGGGAGGAGAAGAAGGATGGACCGAGAGGAGCACCAGGAGATGCTGCAGATGATGTCTCTGGGATCTTAAGCTCGATGTTATGCTAAGCTCCCTAAATGTAATTAACAATTTAATGGGAATCATATCAAACAGTTCCCTGGGTGTCCCTCACTGCTGATAATCTGGCTAAAACTCTGTATGTCTTTGCTCCCCCCCCCCTTCAGCCCCCTACACCAAGCTTCTGGTGACTTGGCTAAAACTCTGTGTCTGTTCTTCTCCCCTCCTCTCTTCCCCCTCAGCCCCCTACTCCAAGCCCCTGGTGACCCTGGAGCCGGACTCCAACCTGCGGCCGGGTGATGAGGTGGCGCTGACCTGCGTGGCGTACGGTGGCTACCCTGAGGCTGACGTACTGTGGCAGGACGGGGGCGGGCACAACCTGACGGACAATGTCACCACCTCCCTGGTGGCCAATGAGGAGGGGCTGTTCAGCATGCGCAGTGTCCTGACTGTCACCCTGGAGCCCAATAGCACTTACAGCTGCAGACTGACCAACCCACTATTGGGCGAGGACGGCCACGCCTCCGTCACCATCACAGGGTGTGTGTCTATGTGTATATGTGTGTCTGTGTGTCCCATTGCTCTCTGTCTTCTCTGACAAAGGCCCTAGCCTCCATTTTTCTGGAAAGTAAACAACAAGCTAACATTCAGAGACTTCCCACAGTGTTTTAATGTTGCCAGTTCAGGATAATCTTGTTTTCAGTCACACAGGAGCACGGCTGCCTATTAAAGTATTGTATGCATTTGTAAATCAATCCGTCAGTCAAATGTTATGCCTTGAATATTCAGCTAGCTGTTCAGAGCTCCACAGAACTGAAGGGAAAATAATGTTCAATTATGCTCTAATAAGCCTAACCATCAGTTTCCGCATATCATTAAAACAGATCAGTGGGTAATTATTTCCCAGATGATTCCCATGAAACTAAAATAACTATTCATCTGACATTTGGTAATGCTAGAAGGTGATAAAGGATATAATATTAGAGCTAAATGGAAGTAATGGTAGTGCAGCAGCTGTACAGCCTGCAGAGCAGACTCCTAGCGCAAGCCTGCCACTCAGCTGAAGCTACAGCCAATGTCTGCCGACCAGGAAGTGGATCAATATGTTTACATTGCTCTTTTTGGGTGAGTGGTGTAATCCCTTCCTGGGATGTGTGGGTGGTGGCCCTGGGGTCTGCTCTGTCCCTTCCCCAGTCCCTGACCCCCTGTACCCTGGATGCCTTACTGGTGTACGTAATGTTTAGCGTGTGGAGTGTTTAGGGAGTGAGTGTCTGACGAGCCAAGGCTGGCTGTCTAATGGGAGCAGTGCTGTGTGAAATGGCTCATAAATAAGAAGAGTTGGCCGGGACCTGCTCTCTGGGCTGGAGCAAAGCTGGGGAGGGGGAGGGGGGGGGGGTCACCCTACGCCCAGGTCAGCGAGTATGTGTGTCGTGTGTATGTTTGTCGGTGTGTTGTGTGTGTCAGGTCAGTGAGTGCTGCTCCACTGGGCTGGGAAATAACTGCTGTTTCCGTGCTGGGGCCGGCAGGGCCCTGAGCCTGGTGGCCTTTCCACAGCTCCACACTCTACAGTCATGACAAGGCCTCTGGGGTATTACAATGTTGCTAAATCCACAGTAGGAAGAGACATGACATGAAGGCCACCAACCCTAGAGTAAACAAGTGTTGCTGTTAAGCCCATAGTAGGAATACTGTTTACATGTTGCAGTAGACTTTAGAATAGTGTAACTACTAGAGACTATTGCACCTTGTAGTTTTAGTAATGGAAATTGATATGCTTATATGCTATCTGTTGAGAGAGAACGTAAGGCTGATTAGGTACCTTTCTAAGGTATTCTAGATGTTGCCTCAGGCGGCGAACTGGTTCAGATCATAGAGTTATTTCAGTGGTCCAGATCTATTGAGGTGATGGAGAAGATAGAGGTGAATGCTGACAGAGCAGAGGAGGAAATGGACATAGGACTGATGATCTGAAGCAGTATGAAAGGATTGAGAACTAGGTATGGTTGTGATCTTCTTCAGTCAGTGTGTCAAGGAAGAGTTCCTCCCCATCCTCCCCGAACCCAGCAGAGCACCTGTTCTGTTAGACTAGTGTTTGTTCTCAACAGAGAGCCAGTTTGTGCCGAGCGCAGAAACCTGCTGATAACAAAAAGTGATCTGTTCAGCTCAGTGGAAATAAAGGAATTACCCACGCTCTGAATTCATCCTAGAGAAATATCAGGCTAGGCTATGGAGAATAACACAGTCAACCTATGAAAGAGAATAGCCCAGCCAAAAAGAAAGAGAGACCGATGGATGAGCTGGAGAGAGAGAGAGAAAAAGAGAGAAAGGATGGAGCAAACCCAGAGACAAAGCTGCGAAGCTGTTGATTAAAGCCATGGAGTGGCCGTGATCTGAGCGCTCTGGGGCTAGTTGGGGAATATTCATTTATCTTACTCTAACCAGCACAGCTTGATGATGACCTAACTTGTTAGTAAACAAGTGGTAGATTTATTTTTGTGTGCCGGGATACAAGGGTGCTTGTTTGATATGAAAATGTATTTGCATTTGTTTACAACAGATGCTGTATGCTTAACAACCTCTGTAATTCATTTTGACCTAGAAGAACTCTTCCGGAGTGTGTGCCGAGCAGAGTTTATATAGTAAATATACTGGATAATCACAGTGCTGCGCCCACCACACACCAGACTGAGGCAGGCTGAGAATCCTATTATAGGGAGGGGTGAAATCTGCTTAAGATTCCAAATGGACTATTCCCCAATAGGAGAGAGAGAGAGAGGAAGGGAGGGAGGGAGGAAGAGAAGGAGAGAGGGAGAAAGTGGGGAGAGAGAACAAGCACATTAAAATTTCACACTTTCCTCAATCTCTGATTGAAAAATTACAATAGTAATACAACTCACCCCCTGGGAAAAGAAATAGTTTGACAAGGTTAATTAGGAGAAAATGAACCCCTAACTGCACGAAACGGTGTGTGGGGTGCGTGTGAAGCCATGTGTTGAAACGGTATGGGTTAAGAAGTTATGCTTGTGAACCATGCCATCATCATTAGCACCACTGTCAATAGTAGTACCTCCCCATGACACAACACCTGCCTGACTAAATACTACATACACAATACTGCCATATACAACTGAACTATCTCAGTGCAGGTTAGAAGAGGTCATGTCCCGCTTGAGCCCTGACTGACCGTATCATGTGTTGGTTCGAGAGAGACTACAATGTGTGTTGGTAGGAGGATATTGATGGATGTAGCAGCAGGATACAGTAGGATCCCACTTGGAACAGACACAAAGAGATGCCTGGCATCCAGCGTCCATGGACGACACAAGAGGCAGCAGCTGCAGCAGTCCTTGTATGAACCCTGGCAGGCTGGCAGGCTGCCTCCCTCCTCAGCCTCCTCTCTCCCTCCTCAGCCTCCTCTCCCTCCTCTTCCTCCTCTTCCTCCCCAGCCTGCCCTGCTATACTACCATCCTGCTGGCTGAAAGCAGCAGTGGCAGTTTGAGCAGCTCAGTCTCAGACAGACTAAATCCCACATCTGCTCCCCCTCCCCCCTCCCTGCCCACCCGCTCGGCCACTTTGCTATCCTCAAAAAAGAATAATGCCCTTTGAGCTTTATGGACTCTCTGTCTGTCTAATATCATTTTTACCATTGCTGGCAGAACGCAGAGCTTTAGATATGGATCCCTACTGTGGGAGCTGAGAGATGGCAGTATGGCTGTGATGGCGGTGGGGGCTTTAGGCCTGTCACTCCCCAGGCGCTCTGTCTCTCTGGTCAGTGGATGAGAGCACCATTGTCTCTCTGCCCGGCTCCACTGCTGGCACAGCACTTGCAGCTCCCAGCAGCAGGATAAGATCGAGATAGAGAGGAGAGGGTTGGGTTGATGACAGAGAGTGAGATGGAGACGAGAGCAGAGAGTGTTTGCTAATCTCAGAGCCGTGGCACCAGGGCCTGACAGGCAGGCAGGGAGATGGAGTCACTGACAGGGAGGAAGGGAGGGACTAACACTCTCACTTGAGTTTTTTCCCCTACTAGCTCAGACTTTGCTGATAGCTACTTTATTGAGAAAAATTGTACTTACTATGACTGAGATATGTGGTTGTCCCATCTAGCTATCTTAAGATGAATGCACTTACTGTAAGTTGCTCTGCATAAGAGTGTCTGCTAAATGACTAAAATGTAAATGTAATGTAAATGGATGAAGGGAGGGAGACAAGCTGTGCTGCTGAGCTCTGCTCCTGAGGATTGCCCAGCTCCATCAACTTCATGGGAGGCCTCATCACCTGCTCCGAAAGGACCAACTCTCCACCAGAATTACATATATCTCTCGCTCTCCATGTTTCTCTCATGCTCTTGCTCTCTCTCCATGTTTCTCTCTCACTCTTCATGTTTCTCTCTCTCTCAGCCTCTCCCTATCTACAGTTGAAGTCGGAAGTTTACATACACCTTAGCCAAATACATTTAAGCTCAGTTTTTCACAATTCCTGACATTTAATCCTAGTAAAAATTCCCCGTCTTAGGTCAGTTAGGATCACCACTTTATTTTAAGAATGTGAAATGTCAGAATAATAGTAGAGAGAATGATTTATTTCAGCTTTTATTTCTTTCATCACATTCCCTGTGGGTCAGAAGTTTACATACACTCAATTAGTATTTGGTAGCATTGCCTTTAAATTGTTTTACTTGGGTCAAACATTTCAGGTAGCCTTCCACAAGCTTCCCACAATACGTTGGGTGAATTTTGGCCCATTCCTCCTGACAGAGCTGGTGTAACTGAGTCAGGTTTGTAGGCCTCCTTGCTCGCACACAATTTTTTCAGTTCTGCCCACAAATGTTCTATAGGATTGAGGTCAGGGCTTTGTGATGGACACTCCAATACCTTAACTTTGTTGTCCTTAAGCCATTTTGCCATACCTTTGGAAGTATGACTTGGGTCATTGTCCATTTGGAAGACCCATTTGCGACCAAGCTTTAACTTCCAGACTGATGTCTTGAGATGTTGCTTCAATATATCCACATAATGCCATCTATTTTGTGAAGTGCACCAGTTTTACTGTGGATATAGATACTTTTGTACCGGTATCATGTTGTTCTGGGATTGATTTGCACTTTTCGCACCAAAGTACGTTCATCTCTAAGAGACGCGTCTCCTTCCTGAGCGGTATGACTGCTGCGTGGTCCCATGATGTTTATACTTGCGTACTATTGTTTGTACAGATGAACGTGGTACCTTCAGGCGTTTGGAAATTGCTCCCAAGGATGAATCAGACTTGTGGAGGTCTACCATTTTTTTTCTGAGGTCTTGGCTGATTTCTTTTGATTTTCCCATGATGTCAAGCAAAGAGGCACTGAGTTTGAAGGTAGGCCTTGAAATACATCCACAGGTACACCTCCAATTGACTCAAATGATGTCAATTAGCCTATCAGAAGCTTCTAAAGCCATGACATCATTTTCTGGAATTTTCCAAGCTGTTTAAAGGCACAGTCAACTTAGTGTATGTAAACTTCTGACCCACTGGAATTGTGATACAGTGAATTATAAGTTAAATAATCTGTCTGTAAACAATTGTTGGAAAAATTACTTGTGTCATGCACAAAGTAGATGTCCTAACCGACTTGCCAAAACTATAGTTTGTTAACAAGACATTTGTGGAGTGATTGAAAAACAAGTTTTAATGACTCAAACCTTAGTGTATGTAAACTTCCGACTTCAACTGTATCTCTATCTCTCCCTC